GCTGAAATGCTGCTCCCCAGTAAGGTTAGCAAAAATGTATTCAATTTTAGCAAGCGGTATTGCTCAAGCATATAATAGTGGATGAATGGTAACTTTTAAGTTACCACAAATCCTGACCAATTCTGTACTTTTAGCTAGAGGAACCACAGGGATAGCCCTCAGCTTCCCTCTGATCTAGTTCAATTTCTATCTTTTTACATATACTGTAGCCTGTAGAGCTGAACATGCTTTATGGAACTTGGGAGTGACATTTTCTTGTAGTACTATTTTACCATAGCTGTGCTTGAGTGCTGGTTAACCTGTTTTCAAAATATGTTTCTGATCACTATTTTACAGTGAGAGATATTATTCCATGATCTTTTTGCCACTATGCATTTTTAACTGTATTTCTGGTGGCTTTAGCTTAGCATTACTAAAATGCTCCTCAAATTCATGCTGGTACATAACCGTCCAATTGCATTGGTATGGTTTTGCTATGCAGTTTTGGTCTGAACCACATTGCTGGTCTTATTTGACTTTTCATGCTAGAGACTGGCTATCCCTGCTTCACTTTCAGTATTGAATTCTTCATCTACAGCAGTTTCTCAACTTTGGCAATTCTTGGCAATTCAATTGCTGGCTGGGGAATTCTGGAGTCCCCGCATCTTAAAATTGCCAAAGTTAAGAAACACTGATCTACAGCATTTACTACCCCATTCCTTTTAAAGTAATGGCTTGGTAGTTTATCTTAGCAAAGGGTTTGCTTTTCCTTTAACCATAGGTTCTCTGGATATATTTCATAGAAAACATTGTATCATTTCTACCTAACAAACAAAAGACACTGGAGTCAGGAGCTTGGTCTGTTGAACCTTTTGTAAGAACTACTGTAACAACTCCCAGGGAGCCTTGCAAGAGCAGAAACATCCACAGGCAGCCCCAGGCAATCAAGCCACAATCCAAGATCACAGGCATGCCTAATCAACCACCAGAGTAAGGTAAGTTAACCAACAGTAATGCTTGGTAGGAAGTGTGGTTAGAATCTGAACAACACATTAGAACTTTAATTGAGTTGGCTTAATGTGCCACTGGGTCTTATCCAGTAAGTATATGTAGGAGTCATCCTTTGTAGCTGCATTCATTTACGCAGTTGGAAGAAATTCCCATTGACGTTGGTTGGAAATCTAAAGAAACTAAACCAAGCAAACCAAAATAGATCTCACTTCTCAGCCCACAATAGGATGGGTCTTTACTTTCAACCACATCAGTAGATATGTTTGCATAACAAAGTTAATCAGCCAGTTAAATATCTAGCTTATTGCACAAGACATCATGCAAGTTTATTGTTTTAACCACACTATGTCCAAACCTAGTCCAGGTTGGATAGTGGACATTTTCCTTTCCTTATAACCAAGAAAAAGTTTATAATTTGATACTATGAAATTAATCTACCCTTCCAACCTCTAGACAAAGATGGGTATCAGTCATGCTTTTTCTCTATTTTGTAATTCTGTCTTGGTCCTGTGTGTGTGCAATGCTGATTTCATCTCTTCCCTGCTCACCACAGCTTGGGCCACTGTGTCTCTTTTAAAAAAAAGTTTGAACTGTTCCTTTTAAAAAGCAGGAAGAAACAGCCAGGCAAGCTCTGCAAAGCTGGCAGGTTGCTATTCAAAATGGCTGCACTCTACAGCACTGAGATTGTCCTCCATTTGCTAGGTGATCTGGTGCCAGATCACTTGGTAAGTAATTTTCCCATGGCTAAGTGTGTTATGCAAATATCTTCACTGGGTGTGTTTGCATGATCCATAAACTAACATTTCAACCCAGCAGACTACAAATCCAGCCTGTGTGGACAGTTTATGGTTCAGTGAGTTGCATGAACCCAGGCAGTGAGGTCAAGTAAGCCATCATTAAGTTATCTATGAATAAAGAGCATCATGCAAAGACAGACATAACATGCATGGTACAACTTCCTTCACACACCCTTTTCAAAGGTTGGCTTTTTTTCACTGGGTCAGTATTTCTTTCCAGTGGCCTCCAATGAATCATTTCAGTGAGCAAAAGTATCTGTCATACCCACATTGGCAGAGGAATTAACAGAAGTCTATTTCAAAGTAAGGAATCAGGCAGAGCTGTTAGTTGTCAAACATGAAGTAATTTCAACAGTTATTAGCTGGATTCACACTTCTCACTAAGCCATAATGTGGTTTATTTTTTGGTGTGATGTATGAACTCAACCATTGTGTTTTATGGCTTAGTAGGTTGGGCAAATAAAGTCAATTCTGGTTTATTCAGCAAACCATGGGCAAAACAAATCATAGCTAAGTGTGAAGAGAAAGCAATCCTTTGTTAATCTGCAAGAAAAAGTTATAACAAATTGTGGCTTTGTGCAAAGTGTGAATCCAGTCCTAATTTTTAGTTACCCTTATAAATCACTAGTTCTGAATTATTAATTTTTCATTCCCTATTTAAAAAGTTAAAATTCCCTCAAATGGACCTTGACTCTTGATGGTTACATGGACATATCCATGTAGTTTTCTTGGCAGCAATTCAATCTGCCACCTATTCTTTCCCAATGCCTCTTGCATCTGTGATCAGGACCCAGGAAAAATTGCAAGGGACATCAACATCTGCTGGATAAAGAAAATCCAAGCTGTCTTATTTGGCAGCCATTCCTGGGACAGTGTTATTTCTAAAAGCTGCAGGAGGCCAGAAATTCAAAACTGAATAGCAATTGGAATATCTGAATGGAGGGAGGGAGGGAGGGAGGAACAATTATTTCTCCTTAGTAATTCTTTTTCTCAGTATTCTAAAAACCTTATTTAAGTCTTATTTGCTCAGAAATGCCATTTAGCTTAGGGAGACTTATTCCTAGGTAGAAATGTGAAGGCCTAGGAGAAAAAAATAGGGGCAAAAATCCTTTTTCTGATACTTTTCACTTTCTGTGAATAACTGAAAAAAATGGATTAAATATTTTCTGGTAGTTTCTTTTTAAACCATACAACTGAAAGAAATTGACCTATATTTGGAAAGATTCATTCCAAATCCAACAAACTAACATGTGAAAGAATAGAGAAAGTTGTCCCAATAGTTGCAGACCTTTGGTTTTCAGAAATTGACTAATAAGACAACATTCTGTAGTAACTATGTATTTGTTAATGGTGCTAAAAAAAAGAATTATTGTGTATGTTTCATTTTTCCCCTGAAATCCAGTTTTTTTCCAAAATTATTTTTTTTACCATTGCTTCAAAATTCCTGGAAATTTTATATCTGTATTAGATCAAAACATATTGAAATAATAGTATAACTAATTATACTGCATGTGACCAACACATTAAATACTAACCTCTTCCCCTTCAGCTGATTCCTTTGGATTTGTACTTGTTTTTCTGAATCAATATCTTTTCCAGCAATCTAAAAGGATTCAGTAAAATGCACTGCACACTTTTGTACAGCTTTTGTACAATCACTTTTGTCTCCATGTTTTTGGTCATTGTACTTGCCAATATACAGCATATGTGTATATGACTGCAGATAAGTTATAATGTGATTTATTTATTCTGACTTAATATATTATCTTAGCCATTATGGGTTATAAACTATTGTGTCTCATTGAACAAATATAGCTTAGCACAATGTGTGAACCCACCTGTAATTTGTGAACTATGAAAAGAATCCTAAAAATGTGGTTCTGGAAATAAACCCCAATATCAGTAGAATTTCTAACTAAGTGTCCGAATACATATAATATGGTACACTGTCACATGGTTGGTTTCTACAGTTTTGGCTTAGTGTGGTGTGTTTGTACATAGGTATTCTGGTTTGTATAGCATAATCTTGCATGACTTGTGAAACCAGGTCACAAAGTATTTGGGTGTATCTTATTAGCCATAATGTGGTCTGTCTGTTTTTGGCTTAAGTGTGATGTATGAACCCGGTTGTTTATAGTTCAGGATGTTGCATCACTCCAGCCAATTGTGATGTTTCAGCAAACTACCATCAAGCAAACCATGGCTTAGTGCAAGAATCAGCTCATTACTTCTGCATGGCTCCCAACAGTCAGTGAGAATGAATCAGTGAAAACTGGTTCACTGAAGCATACAATTTATAATACAAATAGCAACATGTAGACATTTACAAACAGTAATAGTAAACAGGTCTCAAGTTACCGCTTGTCTACATGTGCTAAGTTATGATCTTGTACAACCAATCCCAAAATGAAACTCTGAATAGGAAAAACAATGATGAATATATTTAAAATAGGATTTAATTGTGTTAGGGTTCCACTTGCTCCTAGCCTCTTTAATATTCAAGTTTGCGCTAGAAATTGTGGTAATGGCTTGGAGTGCATAAAATAATTCATAAAATTAAATACAATACTCAATTTTGGAGTAATTGGTACAAAATTGTTTGAAACACCTTTAAAAATAAGATGGGAAAGCATATACAAATGCAACCATAATTATCTCATGCACTGAAAGAACTCCCATGTTCTTAAAGGCAAAAACATATGAATTTGATTCAGTGCTCCCTGCATTTTCCACACTTTCATTTTAGTATAGAGTTTGAACAATGCTGCAAAACCCATGCCAGCTTGGGTCAGATATGCTAGCCACAAACAAGAAACTGCATTTCTGAATATGTGGCGTGATTCTAACAAAGTGTAAATACTGTAGATAGTTACTCAAAATGTACTACATCAAAGAAAAAAGGGCCCAGTGCAGGTATGAAAGGTTTCTTTTCTCAGATCAAAATGAGCTGCTCTGAAAATTATCTCCCTGTGTAAATAAATATGACTGGGAAGGACATCCTGAATAAATGCCTTTGCACTGTTTGCTTCAATCAATATTCTAATGACTGAAACGCAGAACCGAGGACCGACTCCCTCCCTCCCCGCTCCGGTGTATGCACATCTCATTTCCCTTGTCTTTACACCTTCCTAATCTTTTGAGGGCAAAAAACCCTCAGTCCTGTGGACTGAGCATGCCCGACCACCTCGCGCATGCTCATTGAGAACAAAAGAGTTCGCCGATCTGATGGGGAGCAGAACCTAGTAGTGCTCGGCAACCTTCGGTGTTTTCCGTTGGGGCCCGGCCGCCATTTTCTCGCTCCCTCTCTCTACTCGCTAGCTGCGCGGCTCCCTGCCCTGGTCGCCAGCGCTTTGTCCTGTTCGGCGATGGACGGGTGAGTGAGGGAGTGAATGAGGGACGGCCGCCGGGAATAAGAGAGGGAGGAGGGAGTTGTCGCCGCCGCCGCCGCCTCTCCCGCCTTCCTTCTCTTCGCACGTATCTGACGGGGACTGGCAGCGCATCCCTTGTCTGCTGGGCTCTTCCTTAGTCCCGTCCTCTCGCCAGCTGGTTCAGGGTGTGAGAGCCAGGAGGTCTCGGGATGAGAGGAAAAGGGGTGTGTGTCTTGGGGGGAGGCCGGTAAGGTGGATGGGAAGGCAGCTCCCCCTCCCCCTCCTCCGACCGGCTCTGGGTCTGCTCTGCTGCCTCTCTCAGGGACTGGGCCCGCAGCAGCTCTGAGGCGCCGGCATGAGGCATCCTGGGGCTGGTCTCTGAGATGCTGGGTTACCCGAGGAGGGGGAACCAGGACAAGGCCTTAAATTCCGAGTGAGTCGATTTGCACACTTGGTGACTCTTTCCAGAGACAGCCCCCTTTTATTCGGCTTAGAGAAAGCTCGCCCCACAAGTCCTGGCCCCGTTTGGAGCCCCCCAGACGAGGGACCAGAGAGCAGCAGGAGGCAGACGCCTTCCCCTTTTGTTCCCATTAGCTGCTCCGCGGCCTTCTCCCCTCCGAGACAGAAAGATGTCTTTGTATGTGTTGAAGACCGTCTGTCAAAGCCGAAGGGAGGAAAGGACTGTGGGCGTCAGCCATATGGAAACAACACAAGGGCTCTCATTGGCGGGATGGAGATTGGGTGGGTAGTCTGTAGCGTATCTCAGACAAGGCCCTCTTTTTATTGGAGGCCGAGAAGCCCTACCACAGTAAGTGACAGCATCAAGAAAGATGAATTTTTCTCCCTCTTACAATATTTAAAACTGCTTTTGGAATAAAGCTATCCCATTTTTAGCAGGAGCATAGTGAACTGTGTTAGAATGTGGGCCTTACTCAAGTTCATGGTAGAGAGCTATTAGTAATTTGAAATCGGTTACTCAAGGAGAAAATAATTACGGTATGCACCCATTGTAGCATTATTATTATTATTTTATTAGCTGGGATAGTTGTTCCGTTCCCTACAAATATGTGAGCTAAAATGGTATGTTCTAGTTTTGTGGTTTTTGTTTGGTCCATCCTGGATAATGGTTTATATGGTTATTATCTATAAAGCCTTGTAGGGCCTAGATATCTAAGAGACTGCTTGTCTTCAACTGTTCTGCCCACCCAGTTTGTTCTGGCAAGAGTGGGTGCGCTCCAGGTCCCCTCCATTAAACACTGTCATTTTGTGGGGCATAGGAAGCGGGCCTTTTTTGTTGGGGCCCCCACCCTCTGGAACAGCATCCCCCCCCAAATAAGGATGACACCCTGTCTCTTGTGCTTCCAGAAAGGCTTGGTCCTGGCCTGGGCTTGATGCTTATGATTTGCTTAAGGCCCCTGTTTTGTTTTATCAGATTATTTTAGTCTGGGCTGTCTGATTTTATGTTTTTAGCTGTTTTTTTTTTTCTGGTATTGTACACCTCCCAGAGGGCGGGGGCCAATAAATATATATAAATAAATAATAAACTTCAACTTGAACTCCCTTGGTCATGGTCTTAGTTTTGTTAGACTACTAGTACATGCTGGTAAATAAATTTGGAAAGTTGCCGTTTGACATGCTGGTGACATCAGTTTTGTAACAATACTTCATTACTCAAATGGGTTTTCTAAGATAATTCAGTATAACTTTATAATTACTATGGGGTTTCATTTTATTCTCTTCACTTCAGAGGGGTCCAGGCATGATTGTGGTGACTTTTGTAAACTGAGCTCTTGTACAAAAATTGGTTTTGTGGCAGCTATCAAAACCTTAGGGTCATATATATATTTCCCTTAAGTACATGCCATTTGATGAACCTGAATTTAATTTTTGACTGGAAATGGGCTATACAAAAAACACTATTCCCCCCACTTTTCTTTAAGGAACCCTGTTTGTATTTAATTTCATATAAACTGAATTTAAGGGAACTCAGAATGTTAGGTTTTACAATATAATTGCAGTGTTTAAAATAATTTTGTTTTGTTATTCCTTTCAACCCCTTTGCTTGTCATAATTCTATTTTATATGTGCTTATGGCACATAAGGTGTTCTTTATTCTGATGCTACTTGATTGTGCCATAAATCAAAACTCTTTAAGCTAGCATTTTAATACTATAAGTATAAAAAATACCTTGGGAAAACTAGGTTTACAGCAGTCTGTTTAATGGCACTTTATTTCTTAATTAACTAGGTTTATAAGGCCACCCAACTCAAACAATGTGACTCTGGGCAGATGTAATGGGCTGTGAGAATAACCTTGGGAGATAGGAGGAAGAGTTACAGCTTAGACAATGGTCTGATCAATTAAATCTGAGTCCAAAGGAGGGATGGGAGTGGAGAAAGCATCTCAGAAGGGACTCTCCCTAGTCCTCTGGAAAGTAAAGGCAGGGGAGAAGGGAAGCGCTTTCAGACTTGCAAGATTCTGTTACTATAACCTTACAATAAAGGCAGTCTTAGTACTCATGGTTTTGGTTTCCTGTCTGGACTACCTCGAAGGGCTGACAGCAGCATACAATAACAGAAAAACAAACAACAAACCAACCCCCCATAACATTTAAATATATAATATATATAAATATAAAATGCAGAATATAAAAATGGTGGACAAGCACCGTAACAGAAAAATCAAAGAAGGACTCAACTCAATTGGTCTCTAGTGCCTGGGGGGAAAGCCAGTTCTTAACAGCTTTCCTAAATGCGAGTAGAATTGGAACTGGTCATATATCAGGTGGGAGTTCATTCCAGAAAACGGGCGACTACAGAAAAGGGATACTTTCTAGGTCCCATAAGATGATAGTATTTAAAAGAAGGAACCTGGAGCGTGCCCTCCCTGTGTGAGCGTTTGGGGCAGGTAGATGTTCTTGGGAGAAGGCAGTCCCTCAAGTTTTGTCATTGTACCAATTTAGGTTGTATGCAGCGTCTTTCTCTGTGCAGCTAACCACGTGTCCAATCTGCAGTGGAAAATTTGGGGGGCCACCACAACAGACTTGGAGAAACTCTGTAGTAAACTACAGGAAAAAAACCAGGGAAGACAAAATTTATTTGTGTCTTATTCAACGTAGTCATTTACCATTAATATGGCAAATATGAAATATGGTAATATAAATACTGTATGGTAATATGGAAATGCAGTGTATTCCTATTCTCAATTTTTCCTAGTTTTAAGAAAATAGGAAGTTAAATATCAAACTGAATACATGATTTTAGGAAAAATGTTTGCTTTATTGGAGAAAAATACATTTCCTCTTTTAAAATCTGATTTTTCCTTTCCAGCATTGTTACTGATGTTGCAGTTGGTGTGAAGGTAAGCAATCTAACTTATAATGTTGAATAACAAATACATTGATCTAAAAATGTTTATTTCTAAATTTGTTTAGTATTCTCTTGGTGACTGGTTGTGATTTGTTTATCTAGAATCTTCAACCAAAAGTTGAAGTTGGTGGAAGACCCCAAAATGATTTACTGTAATTACCAATCTCTAAATATAGTTGCAACCAACTATAGGATTAACTGAAATAACATTTGTAATTTTTTTAGAAGTAGAATATCAGTGACACTTAGAAAAAATTGTGGGAAATCATACTGATTACATAATCATATTCATAGTCCTAAAATATTTAAATAAAGTAAATTAACCTGCTGATTCTTTTATAATTATAGTTTTGTGGTATAATATTATTCAGGGATGAGATAATTGATAGGGGATTTTCACACTTCTAATCCAGGTTTTTACAGTAGTACTGGAAAAAAGAAACCTAGTTGAAGTTATATTAGCAACATTCCAAAGGCTTTCTGTTTTTATTGTTCTTAGAGGCCTTGTCTAGACATAAGCTTTGCAATTTCTGTACCTCAGGTAATTGAGATTGTACTGTAAATATGTGTACCCCTTCGCCTGCACAATTTTTCTTTCTCTTTCTGATTTTAATACTTGCAGTACAGTTCAGACATCAACTGGGTTTACACATTGCATTAAACCATGATTTGGCTTGTTTGGTTTTGATGTGGAGTGTAAACCTATTTATTTATTTATTTATTTATTTGATTTTGACTCTGTCTCTATTTTTTTTTTAATAAATAACTCAAGGTAGTGAACATACATAATCCTCCTTCCTCCTCCTTTTTTCCCCACAACAACAACAACCCTGTGAGGTGGATTAGGCTGAGAGAGAGTGACTGGCCCAGTCACCCAGCTGGCTTTCATGCCTAAAGCGGGACTAGAACTCACAGTCTCCTGGATTCTAGGCCAGCACCTTAACCACTCTGAGTGTGTATGGACACATTCTCAAAGTGTTTTATTCACTAAGCAGCTTGGCTTAGCGTTTTGTGGACTAAGCTTTGGTTTGCTTTTCTTTTTCCCTTGCCTTGATCAGTTAATTTAACTTTGGGTTCTGTATTCTTTGCAAACTGTTGCTTGCCTTTCCTTTCAAAATTACAGTCTGAGCAAGTTAGGATCAAATCCCAGCAACTGCATTATTTGTTTACTAATGACATTGGGTCTGAACCACACATATTTTCTATGTTGAAGAGGGTTGTTCCTGAAATCAGGATTTGAAATAGAAGCCAGATTGCAAAGGCTTTTGTTAATAACACTGTAATATTGATATTAGTTTTGTTTTCATATCTAAATAAATGGAGTAAAACATAACAACCTGCTGAATAAAAGAGAATTAATGGCTGCTGAACACCCTGTAATGAGGCATAAATCATTGGGTTGTGTTCACATAGCATACAAAGTCACGAATAACCAAACCACATTTTGATTTTATGTGATATGTGAATTTACCTGGTTAAGTAGGGGAATTCTTGGAGAAGAGAGTATAATTGGAGTGCAGATAGTAATTTATGATGTTGCAAGCATTGTAATCCTAACTTTATTTGGGGTATTCTTGATTTTAAAAAAAATACTGTCCTCAAACACTGAGCCTCTAAAATTATACGCTTAGGCTGTAGTAAGTAAAATTCAGACTTACTGTAATGTACGAAATGAGTGGCCTCTGCACATTGCTGCCCCTTTCAGTTACAATACACATATATCCATTTCTGACCTTCGGACTTACTTTGCTTCAGCAGAAACAGAAATGAGGAACTGTTGTAGGTCCAGGTACAATATCTAAGATATATTGTAATCCTGGTTTACATATAGCTTAATCCTAATTTAAATAAAGATTTGATTTGCATATAATACTAAGCCAGAATATTTCATTGTTTTGTTGAACAAATCATATTGGTGTGATTTGCCCATAAGGCTAAATCATATTAGATTGTAAGTTACTAAGACAGAAAAAAGAAAAGTCACATTATGCTACTATTGGTTGCAAACCAGACTAAAATTTTAGATGTGATACTGGGTTTTTGAAATGAAAATCTTGGTTTTCTGGGGATTATTCCGTTATATTCAGGAGTCTAGTACTGGAAGTAGAAACATTCACTGGGAAATCTATATATTTAAAGAATGCTGTAGAACTTGTTGAAGAATTATCCATTTTGCCTTATTCAGACAGTTGTGAGTAGATGATTTAATTTGTCAACATCATCACTAATAACCATACAGTTGTAATAAAAGATAGCCACTTTATTCCTTCAGCAACAAAATAACTACTGTATGTAATTAACAGTAACTGTTAACTGTAAATCATTTAAGATATGTGCTAACTAATAATAATACTAGAAGGAAGCAAAACATTTTGGCACTTTTGTAGCTAGCAAGAAGTCAATTAATTGAATAATTCTAGTCTGTTAAATAAGCAGTCATAAACTAAAAATTGGACAGAACAAGGTTTTTGTGCCCATGTATCTGTCTGGGGTGGCTGTAGTAGTTTTCTTCAAGGAAAATCATTGTTTATTCATCTTTATGAACTCCTTTAGGCAGAGCTATTGGAAGGTTTTCTGTGCCCTAAATGAGTTAGGCAAATGTGTAGAACATATTCTACAGTAATCTTTGAAGTTTCAGAGGATTGTGGCAGTAGTTCTTTAAGGATATAAGTACGGCTGTTTGTAAAGGGAAGTCAACAGTGTCAAAATGGTGGGTGCAACTGGGCAGTTGAAGCTCCACTCCTTTTTATGTATATGTGATACATTTGATGCACATTAAAAAGAGACAGGGCTTCAATTACTTGGTCAAACCTGCCATTTTGACTATGTTGACACCCTGCCCTCATCCCCATGGAAGATGAGGGGAGGGTAGATATAACCATGTACAGTAAATGATTATCTAATCCTTCTGTTGTTCCTTCTTGGAATAGGCCAAGCTCCTGGAGCTGGCTATAAATCTGATATAGCTAAGTCAGGTAATAGGGGGTGGTTGGATTGGCAGAGGTTGCCAGCTGGCCATTGTCAGATTTAGCCTAGAATTTGCTACCAGTCTCTTGCCTATATTATTGGTTCCTCTTTTCCCATAATAAATTATCAAAGTTCTGTGTTACAAAGTGCATGTTAAGGTTTCCTTATTTATCAGTATAGGAATTGTTGTATGAATGATAGCTGATTATATGCTTTACAACATATTCATCCAGTGTTTGGTAGAATGTTATACAAATACAGAGAGATTCCTTGTATGCTTGCAGTCATTGCTATAGGTGAAGCCAGGCAGCTTTTAAAATCAATATTTGACTTTCATATTGATCTCAAGTTTATTTTCTACCCAAATTAGTTGAAAACTGATTGGAAAACACAATCTGCTTAATTTTAAAATTATTTTTGAGGCATTAGAAAGAGTGACAAGGAAATGTCTACAGTGAAGAAGTATATGCTAAAGGAGTATCAATAACTCAAATATATTGGCAAGAAGATGATTTAAATGGTTTCCAAAAACCTTGGAAAATTGTACTACAAATGTTTTTACATTGTCCTTAAAAAGCATTTTAAAAGCAGCTATAATTGTCAATATAACCTTCTTTAAATAGATGGAAACTATTTTAAAATATAATGATAACTCCATATGTGCAGTGGAATTGAGGCTAGCAAAAATTTTCTGTAAAGCTAAGTGAAGTTTATCAAATACTCCTGTCTTAAGTTGTGGGCAAACCTTAATTAATTGAACCTTCAGGATTTATAAAAAACAATTACTTTATCGTTCAAACCAATTGCTGTATTCACATGAGGAAACATGCTCATGCATGGAGCCTGATCAGCTGACTCTTGCATATGGAAACAGGTAAATTTCTGATCCTGTCCAGGTGTGGAAGCTCAGCAAAATTGGATTTCGTTAGTACTTGGATGGGAGACCAATAGGGAATTCCAGGGCTGAAGGCCTAAAAAGAATGTCAAAAAACATCCTGGAAGAAAGCAACACTTCCATCCTATCGTAAAGATAACTGCATTGTGCAGATAGTCACGTTGTGCATACAGGAGTTGAGCTCAACTGAAAGAAGTCATTACTCTTTAGTTTTCTTGTGAACTTAGCAAAGATTGAAAAACTGTATGTTACATGTGAAATTAGCCTCTTGCTTGGTCCCTCCTTTGACAAACCAGATTTGAAGCCAGGGTATTACTACTTCTGACTCTTTTTCTATGCTTTGCATAATCAATTACTGAAAAGGAATGTGCACATTTAGAAAAAGAAATTCAGTCAAGATGAAACAATATTGCTGTTGCCTAATAATGGCATATCAATTCAGGGAAAATGTATGAATCTCTTTTTCAACAATTCATTGTTTCCTGCTAAATTAAGTAGCCATAGCTTGTAGAGAAGGATGCTTTTGGATATGTCTTTATTGCAGGATGTGCAGATGGAACCAGTAGGTTGCTATGCCTGTAATTCAGCTAATGTGTTCTTTATTTTTATCAGTATGTAAAAAAAAGAATAATATACAATAAAGTGGCTGGAAATCTAACTACAGGTAGTCCCTGGATTAAGATTGCCCAGTTTATAGATGACCCATAGTTAAGAACGAAGCCTATTGTAGCAAAATTCAAGTTAAATACACAATGGCTTGAATAAATTACACAATACTACTTATACAGTATTATACAATACTGTTCAGGCTTACATACATATTCGACTTAAGGACAGACCTTGGGAATGGAACTTGTTCTTAAACTGGGGACTACCTGTAGTGCGGAATATGGCAATTCAGTGGGAGTGACTACTGAGATAATCCCAGCACCAAAAGTTAAGAATGTAAAGGGAGTTTGCCATAGAGCCCTTTTATTTCTGCATTTTGGGTTACACACTGGCCGACAGGTGCTTTTGGAAAGTTCACAATAATGAACAAGAAAGTGATAAACCACTGTAACTTCCCAGCTGCCTGTGATTCAGGAGGCAGTATACAGTTATTAAGATTAACTATTAAAAATCTGATCTTTTACCCTTCTTTTTGTTTCTTGATGTTTTTAATGTTTTATTTTTAATGTTTCAAACAGTTTGTAAATCTGAAGTAGCTGCGAGTCAGGTAGCATATACATTTAAATAATATTAATAATAAAAATCCTCCATGAATAGGCCCCTTTTAAAACAGTGACTTGATAGTTGTCACCATGTTTTATGGCATCAACTTTCGTAGTTTAATGATGCATTTAGTAAATAAATATTTCTTCTGTCTGTTCTGAATTTCCCCATATTCTGTTTCAGTGGGTTGCTTCAAGTTCTGTCTTCATAAGAGCAGAAGAAAACTTCTCTTCATCCACATTTTCTATACAATGTATGATTTTATATCCCTCTGTGATGTTGCCCTTCATCTACTTTAGCTCTGAGATCAAAAAAATTTAAATGCTGTACTCATTTCTGGAAGGGAAGCTGTTAACCTCCTAATCAATTTGTTTAACCAGTTCTTCGCCAGCTATTAGTTTGCTTTTGGAGAATTTTTTTAGTGTGCTTGTTTTGGCTTTTGCAGCTTTAAATTAGAAACTTGGAATCTCAGATCTATGGGTTAAGCCTGGTCTCAGGTGTGGGCTCTTTCAAAAGCTCTACTCCCTCTGCAAAATGCCAGTTTGGAGGTGCTGGGAGAATTTTATAACTTCCCCCATTTTCCTATACCAAAAAAATAAAAGGAGGGTGAAGATACAGTAGTGCTTAAAAGTTTGTGATCCCTTTTGAATTTTCAATATTTTTGCATAAATATGACCTAAAAGGTGACCAGTTCTCCACACAAGTCCTAAAACTAGGTAAAGAGAACCCAATTTAAAAAATGAATCAAAACATTATAGTTGTTCATTTATTTATTGAGGAAAATGATCCAAAACTACACATTTGTCTGTAGCAAAAGTACGTGAACCTCTAGGATTATCAGTTCATTTGAAGGGGAAATTAGAGTCAAGTGTTTTAGTCAATGGGATGATAATCGGGTATGAGTGTGGGAGGTCCTGCCTTGAACAGAATTCTGGATATTCACTATCAAAGTCTGATTTTCACAACACAGGTATGTGAAAGTGTGTCATGGCTCAAACAAAGGAGATTTCTGTGGACCTCCAAAAAACAGTTATTGATCCTCACCAGGCTTAAAAAGATTACAAAACTATTGCCAAAGAGTTTGGACTCCACCAGTCCACTGTCAGCAGATCCTATACAAATGGAGACAGTTCAACACCACTATTACCCTCCCCAGGAGTGGTTGACTAACCAGGATCGCACAAAAGCAAGGCATCTAGTACTCTGGGAGGTCTCAAAGAAGCCCAAGGTAACGTCTAAGGAACTAAAGATCTCTCTTATTTTGGCACATGTCAGTGTTCATGAGACTGCCACCAGGAGAACATTGAACAACAGTGGTGTGCATGGCAGGTTTGCTGGCTCTGGACCAGGATGGCTTGCCTTCACTGACAGAACTATGAATTCTGAATTGTATCAGCAAATTCTACAGGAAAATGTCAGGGTATCTGTTTGTGAACTGAAGCTCAAGAGAAAACGGGTCGTTCAACAAGATGACCGAAAACACACAAGCTGTATAACCAAAGAATGGTTAAAGCAAAAGAACGTTAATGTTTTGGAATGGCCAAGTCAAAGTCCTGACCTTGACCCTCACCTCACTTCTGGTGAGGACATGGTGAACTAGACGTCACCAAAGGAGTGACCAGATGGAGGATCCTGGCAGGTGAAATCTCTCCAGAGAAAGGAGAGATCGTAAGATAGCCACATATACTTTGGAGAGCTACTCCTTGTGAGTAGACTGCAGGAACAGAGGGATTCCAACTAAGCTCATAGTCATAACTTTATACAGATATAAAGTTTGGCCGAGCCTCATTTTTTAATCATGTTTGGAGTTACTTTTTTAGTGCTTTTTAAATATTAAGAACCTTCAGAATGGCAAGTTTTATGGCATTCACTGGATGAGTTTCCTTCAGTCCTTAGCAAAAGAGGTTTTAAGTATGAGTTTAAGGACTTAGGGAAAAAAACGATTTTTGGAATAAACAGCAAAAGGGTGATTAGTGTTGATTTTGGAAAGTTATAAATGGAGTAAGGGTCCAGATGGATTTGAAATAAGACTTTGAAATTAATTATAGAATCCTTCCCATGGGAAATGGCTGTTCTGATTTCTAAATGATGATGATGATGATGAACTTTGAAGGTTGGACACTAGAGGAAACCAGAAGGAACTAAAGATTACAATTAAAGGAGAAGAACACTTAAATTTGACTTGTTAACACAGAATAGAACAAAAATCTTTAATATTGGACGTATTGAAGGAAACTTGTGAGCAATGGACTCAGAAGCTAATTTTAAGAATGTCTGCCATTATAAATAGACTGTGCCTAAATAATGTTATGGAAAAGGAACAAGTTCTACCAGACAAGACTGAAATTGATTTGAACATGGATTTAAAAATGACAGGCTACAAGAATGATCTGGAAAAAGATGATATACTGGATATACAAATGAAACTGGTTGATTTCTTAATAATTAAAGGGGACATACAAGTAACAAACCAGAAGAGTGACATGGATAACTTTCCTATACTGGATTTACAAAAGTTTCGAAGGATTTTGTGAGAAGGGATAAAGAAAAAAAGAAAAATCATGTTCTAGGACATTATTTGAAAGGATTAAAGACCAAATTTGTTAAAAGTAAAGGGAAGGATATAAAGTTAGTTTATTTGATAAAGATTAAAATAAATATATTGCTATCTCTGGCAACCCTTAATGGATTTTTGCTGACAGGATTGAACAAGACTTTAAGGTTTTGTTTATAGATAGGAGATGAGATATGGGAAGAAGAGATCATTCGCTATATTTTAAGAGAAGGGTGATAAGTTACTAAAATTGTTTATACTTGTGATGAAGGGGGTTTCTTTATATATTTCTTTTTTTTTCTTTACTGTATTTTTTCTTTTCTATTTTTTTTCCTATTCTTTCTATTCTTTTCTACACTTTCAATTCTTTTCTTTTTTCTTTTTTCTTTTTTTAGCTTGTATTAGCTTTTATCTTTTTAATTATAACGTTCAATAAAATTATTATTAAAAAAAAAGAAATGCTGTGGAAGGACCTGAAGTCGTCAATTTATGAAAGTAAGCCCAACTTCCTTGAGTTAAAGCTGTTCTGTAAAGAGGAATGGGCTAAAATTCCTCCAAGCCAATGTGCAGAACTGATCAACAGTTATCGGAAATTTTAGTTGCAGTTATTGCTGTTCAAGAGGGACATACCAGTTACTGAAAGCAAAGGTCCACATACTTTTGCCACACCCAAATCTGTAGCTTTGGATCATTTTCCTCAGTAAATGAACAAGTATAATGTTTTTGACTCATTTGTTTAATTGGGTTCTCTCTATCTAGTTTTAGGACTTGTATGGAGAACAGATCACTTTCTAGGTCATATTTATGCAGAAATGTTGAAAATTCAAAAGTGTTCACAAACTTAAAAAAAAACCACTGTAGATCTGCAGCTTCAAGGGCATCCCTTCACTGCATCTGGAAGTATCGCCCTGATAATTTATCTGCTTCCCATTTTTCAAATAGGACTTTTGTAATTCAGATCCCTTATCTGCCATTATCATGGGGTTTTGAACAAGTAACTTTTGTTTTAATCTCACCTGAAGAGACTGTCCTAATTGAATAAAAAATTAGATGTAAATAAGTTAATGTCTTTTGAAAGGACACCTGAAAATTTAGTGAAAAAAATTGCTAACTCTTTAAATAGTTTCCTTGCTCTAGATTTTCACTTAATGTCATTTTGACATTATTAATACCAATTTTGTATTTTTAGATGGCAAACTGCTTATTGTTTCTTTCTTTCTTAGAGAGGATCTGACGAACTTCTTTCAGGCAGTGTACTCAATAGCCCGAACTCTAATATGAGCAGCATAGTAGTTACTGGTAAGTGATATATTTTAAAGGATCATTGTTATTTGAATATCAAAACATATCTATCTTGCAGAACAGATTAAAATACATGGCAGAAAGAATGTTCATTATGCCATTTGAGTAGTCGTACACTAAACTTTAAAAACAAAAGAAAACAAAACCAGCTATAAATGCCTGAACCAAACTTGTCTCTCTGTGTGCGTATATATAAATAAATTGGAAAAACCTTTGAATATCTATCTTGCAGAACAGATTAAAATACATGGCAGAAAGAATGTTCATTATGCCATTTGAGTAGTCGTACACTAAACTTTAAAAACAAAAGAAAACAAAACCAGCTATAAATGCCTGAACCAAACTTGTCTCTCTGTGTGCGTATATATAAATAAATTGGAAAAACCTTTGACCACTCTGTACAGCTAAGGCAGGATGAGAAATGGAAGTTTCTTCAACAATTTACCTGAAATTATGTTAATCTTATTCTACCCTTTCCACAGCCTGACTTGCAATCATTATTTAACTATACTATAAAAAAATTAATATTGAAATTTATATACTTCCCCTTACCCTCTCCATACCTTCTGTTAGTTTTCTATCTCTTTAACTGCAGTCTTTCCCTTCTACTTTTTCTACCACATATAAGAATATACTAAATGTGCAATAAAAATCTTATACTTTATCTATGCCCTTGAATAATTATGTTAGTTTTGCAAATAATTTTAAAGGGGCAAGTGCCCGGCCCTTTCATGTGTTCAGATAATCTCTTGCTCAGACATCTAGAAACTATAGAATGAGTGTGCTGAAATTTTGTGCTTTCCTTAATAATGCATTAATTAAGGTACGTTTTCATCTTATTTTGTGCTTTTAACTATCCTGAATTTGTCAGATGGTATTAGATTTTTATTTTGTTTTTATTTTTTAAGTTATTCTGGGACCTTTGGCTGAGAAAGTGGTAATGCATAAAAGAACTGAAACTAGAATATAATAAAGTTAGGAGAGAAGGTGTTCTGGGATGGCATAGTAAGTAATCTTTATTTGGTCAATGACCAGCACAGGGATACCTATTACAGTCTAGTTGTATATGTTGAGATTGTGTGCTGCTTTTTTTTTTTTTTTTTTTTTTGCCTTTG